AATATGTGTCTTGAATAAAAATCATGCTTCCAAGTCATTACATTAGGAATTGCCAGTTAAGCTTTATTTTTACTAATTAATTATGTATTTTAGTTTCACTTGCATAGAATTATTTTCAAACAAAACAACGTTTCTCAATAAATTTATACAACTAACGTAATTGTAATTGTACCTAGCAATTTATATTTGTATGCACTTGTTACTATGGAAGTGGATCTAGTTTTATGCAAATATGACATAGATATTAGAATTTACTTGAATTTACTCTTTTTTAATGAATTATTCAACACGAACTGTAAATAATGATGATATTAATAAGTTACTGTAATAATATAGTGTGAAAAAAAATGGAATAAAAATTATAGTAATGGCACATACACTTTTTTTAATGTTCTAAAATTTATTCATGTATTTCTGAGATAAATATGCTTCCTGCCTCTTTTTGATATTTTATCTAGTTTAATTTTCTACAAATATCGATAAATTTTAAGTTATTCATGTTTTATGCTTTCCGTCTTTCAACAAAATGGTAATAATGGCATAAAAAGCGTATAATTTATCTACTTGAGTTAAAAAATAAAAAGTACAACTTTGTCAAATACACGAATAAAACTAAACAATGTAAAAAAAATAAACAATACAACATAAACAAGAACTCTAAACCCAAAGAAAAACAATTCTTGCAAAATTACCATCCAGTATAGCATTGACATTTCTGTCAAAAGAAACTCATCATTTCGGTATTAAAAGTCAAATTATACGGTTTTTAAACCATTCATTTAGTAATTTTCTGTTCCTATAGTAACGGTTTACAGGAAATTCTGGTTTTGCAAAATTATAGTTCTTATCACCACATATTTGGTGCAAAATACAAAACTAAAAAGCAAATTAACCGAATAATAAAATAGTTTTTTTACCATGCTCTATGATATCATGACAAAATTACCAAATTTTACCACATTTACCAATTTTTATCATATCTTATAAAACCATATTTTATTATTAATGTTACCAAAATCATTACCAAGGTGCTTCCGTAAAAATTGCCGAGCTTTTCGGTGTTTTCCTAGACCTAGAAACACGATAAATTTTACCATATTCTGATTGTTTTGGACAAACTTTTTTCTTAGTGTATGATGAAGCATCTTTCGTGCAAAGCAGAGAATGAAACAGTGGATTATTGATAAGCAAATTATAAGCAAATTAAAATTACAATCAAACGAAGTTAAGAGACTAGTGTGTAGGGCAGGGGTGTCAAACTCAAAAGCTAACTTGGGCCAAATAAACAATGCCTTACTTTAGGTGGGCCGCAAAAAAAAAATCAATATTTATTGAAATAAATATTTTCATTTTGAATAGTACATTGTAATAAACATATATAAAGTTAAATTATTCTTTGATTCTTGACATCTCTTCTCTGCTACTATCTTTCCTATTTCGGGAGAAATTTTATTGGCCGAGACTACTTTCAAAATAGACCAAACGTGAGCGTTATTAATACGGTTTTGGACAGGAGATTTATTTCCATTCATAACGGAAAATAATTGCTCTCACTGATAAGTACTTCCAAACATAGAAATAATTTCATGTGCGAATTTTCAAGTATTTTCAAACCTTTGCCGGTAAATATTTGTAAAATTCAGTCACACCCGCTTCTTTTAACTTCAAAATTGAGTCGTACTGAATCTCAATAATTTCCATTTGCATATTACTGGGTACTGAGTCTATATTTATTGAGAAAATCGAAGGAAACAAACAAAATTTGTCTTCCAAGGAATTAAAATCCTTAAGCCTTGTTTCAAATTCGGTTCTAAGATTTGAAATTTTTTCTGCGTATTTTTGATACGATGCAGTATCCCTGAAATGGCAGGGGCCGCAAGCCAATTAGAATTTTACATTTTCGCGCGAACAATTTAAAATGATCCGTATAGTTTATAAATAAAGTATATTCTAATTTTATATGCTAGTTTTCTTTCTAATTCACATTTCTATTTTATTTTTACTTTGCGTCGGACATATTGACTGGGTCGCAAAAATGCTCATCTCGGGCCGCGAGTTTGACACCCCTGGTGTAGGGGGTATGGTGAAAACCCAGATATTGAAAGTTGTACAAATTAAATGGATGCCATTGAGTTACTTAGTTTTAATTTTCAAATCCATATTTTTTTAATTTCTTAATTTATAAACATATGAGGTTCTTCTCCTCTTAACCCACCACACCTGTTTCTTATCTCTCTTCATTTGTTTGATTTTGTTAAAGTTTTACTCCACCCTATTGTTCAGCCTTTTCTACCTTGTTATAACTTGTTTGCTATTTTTATCTGCATCTCTGTATTACCCTCTTTTTTATACGTATTCCGACACTGAATAATGTTTTTCTATTATAAAAACTATAATATGTCTGAATATTTAAGATTATCTGTGCTTTTTCAAAGTTATATAGTTTTATTCACAACTCGCAATTTTGGCGAATGTAAAAGTCAAGGGTTTTAAGTTTAAAGAAAATTTGTTATGCTATTAAGACCACAATAAAAAAACTGATAAATTATATCGAGGTACGCTTTAATTTAATATGAATTTAATAACAGAAATTGAAATTAAAGCAATAGTAAAAAAAAAATAAAAAAATTTTTTTTTCGAAATTTATTTTTTACTGCCCATTTGTTTCAAAATCACGATTAATAACACCAAATGCGTCATTAAATTCCTATTTTTGTGGAATGGATTATTCATTTGACAGAGACTCAACTGTTTAAAGTTTTGTACTCTGTGGCTCTTGGACAAAAATAAATAAAAGAAACTAAAGCAGATGTACACTGCTAGAAATTTCTCGGAAAAAATGGTTAAATAAAAATTTGAATAATTGCTATTGTACCATATTCAAACAAGGCAGTCAAATAATATTAAAAAAATGTGTTCAACTGTTTGTGTATCACAGCAGACAGTTAATTGTGAGAAAGAAAAGTTTATTGATTGTTCCTTCCTAATACGGTTAAACAATCAGAAATTTATTCGTACCAACTAGGCTGTAACAACATATTATAGCCAAAAGGGCTAATCTGTCAATCTCATGGTCAACAGAACGGGGTTTGCAGTCCCCACTGATACCACCATCATTGAAAAGTTTACAGTAATCTGCACTCCGAATTTTGTAAACCTGGACTTTTAGAATACAATACTCCCATTCACACATAGATGGCAGCACTATAAGTCAGCTAAACGGCCTCCGATCTCCAGTAAATTTTCTTTTTAGCGGTTTTGAAACCATGCTAGTTGTAACTTGTTACAAAACCGTTTGTATTCATTGTTCCTTAACCATATTATTTGTAAATGGTTTCAATACCATAGAGGCAAAAAAATGTTCCTTTCGTAAACTTTATGGTTAATTGGATAGGCAGGTTGCTGCCAGTTATTTTACTGTAATTTCAGAATGAAAATTCTAACAATGTATAACTAATGTCTAAAATTTAATTAATTGTCCTCTCTAAATCAGTTTGTCTATAGATTTTGCCAAAAAGAGTGATGTTAAAAAAATACACTGATTTTACTGTTTCTAACAACTTCAAAAACTTTGTCACATAGTTTTAGAAACCAGAGGTATATATCAAGTAAATATGATTACAACTGACAACGGCAAGTTTAGTTCCTTTAACAATTAACATATATTTATCAAAACTTTTTTTTCAAACTTAATTTGCAATGTAAGCTTGTAAATAAAGTGACAAGCTTGTATCATTCCTCTAAGCACCATTTAGCCATTCCTCAACCTGACGTTTTTTTATTAAAGAATAAAAATTTACCCTCGCCTATTTGAAAACGATTCTGAAAATATTTAATTATTTTTTCTTCATCTTTAATTTCATTTATTTTTAAAAAATGTGTTTCAATTAAATCGGTTAATTTTTTGGGTTGAAAATTGACGCGCTGAAATAGTTTAGGAATTTCACAAAATTTGAAATCTTACATTAGCAATTTTTCATTGAAAATATAATTTTTAATATATATTAAAATCAAGTAACAACAGTTTTAAAACAGTTTAGTCAAAAATTAGGGTTTCTGTCAATTAATAATACATAATCATGATCATTATTTCTGAATATATACGAACAATGCAAACTTTTTGACTAATCCTCAAGTTACATGCCAACTACGCTTTAAAATTGCACTGTAATTCTCTTAAATTATATAAATGATTTCATTATTAACATTTAAAATAAATTTCTGCCATAGAATGTTCGTAATCTTGAAAGCTAGGCATTAAGTATTGGTGGTTTATTTTTATATAGCAGCTAATAGTTTATGCCAATACTGAAATTTCTGATAAAGAAACTTCTGATGACTTTTCAATAATGATAAGATAACCAGAAAGAGTCGCGGTGGCTCTTAATAGGGATAGAATGTCCGTTTCCCCATGATTTGACCCAGGTTTGAATTTTAGAGGTGGATGATTGATACAAATGCTACTTCTGACTCGCATCGACCACAGTGCTGACGTAAAATACCTTCAATGGAAGACAGATCACGGCTCAGAATCCCCTTGTCATCGGGCTAACCGGGAAAAGCTTTCGTGGTTAAATTAAAAAGTCCTCCTAGAAGGTTAGTTTGTCAAATGCTCGGTTCAAGAGTCCCCTTATCTTCTGGGTTGGGTTCAAAATTATAGGGCATTGATTTGTAAGCTTTTCGAAGACACCAAATACAATTTTACAATACAATTTACATAAAAAAAAAGTGTGCTTTTTTATTAAAAACAAGTTTTTGACAAAAAAACAGTGCATTGTGAAGTTGAAGAGTAAAAAATAATTAAAATAAAGTATATGGTATACAAAACAGTGTTTTTATCTACAAACAGACACTGCTGTTAAATAATTGAAGAAAAATGTGCTAAAAATATTCAAATGTTTTAATCAAAAGAACTATAAATTCTAAAACTAAATATTGTGTGACATGTGTTTATAAATAATATTAAAGTGGATAATGTGATGAATAAATGATATACATACTTGGAACGAACGAAACTCTTTCTGCTGAATTCCTTGTGACCATTTCAACAGGAATACGGATTCGATCATACTCTATTGGATAACAAAACATACTTTAGAATTCTATAAGTCTAATTAATAATTTTCTAGTTATCAATAAAGCGAATACTAAATTTTGAGATAGAAAAAAAGGAATGGAGAGAGGTGTACGAAACTTCATAAGTTTGTTAATTTTAAAAAAAATCACTTCAAAATAATTTTTAAGACATTAGGTTCGTTTATAATTTAGGAATGAGAGGGATAATAATTGGTTAAAAAAGAAATAATAATAATACGACACTATGCATATTGAAGTAAATTTAATTCAACAATATAAAACTATATATTGAGGAAAATGCAATTTTTTTTAGTCTCACCTTTTGTAACTAGCTAAATTTCATTTTTATTCTTTTAAAAATGAACTACGCTGGTAAACAATCATTATATTTAAACCAACTTGCAATAGCAGACTTGACACAGCAGGTTTCTGACTTACTGCAGTTTATTTTGAATAATTTAAAATTTACAACCAGAGCAAATCTTATAAAATAAAAAAGGATAAAAAATAACTGAGGAAATTCGTCCTAAATGTTACAAATAATAAACGTACTTGAGCGTCTAGTAATCAAGTAAACAAAACACTGGTTGTGTAGTTTCGGAACAAAAATTTGACACATTTCAAAACTGGTATATTGAACTATAGTAGACAATGAACTATAGTAGAATATGCGGGTATAATGAACTATAGTAGACAAATGAATCACAAGGAAAAGAAAAAAATTCTGGTAAAATTACTTTATTTTATGGTAATGACATTTCTGGACAAAATTAAAACCCTGGTTAATAAAATCGAAATTAACTCTGGTTAATAAAACCGAGAAATACGTTATTTAAACCATTCATTTGGTTATTTTTTCAATCGTATGTTAACGGTTTACGGAAAATTCTCGTTCTGATTATCATACATTTAGTAAAAAGTACAAAACAGAAAAGGAAATATTTCTGAATAAATGGTTTTCATGTCATGCTCTAAGGTATCATGATAAAATTAGCAAACTTTTCTCATACTTGCCAACTTTCACGCATTTGGCGTAAAACTATATTTCTATATTTAAAATGGTAGTAAAATGTATGCTTTCTATATGTTTCTTGAATTTATAAACTTAATTTATAATATTTTTAATCCACCACTATTTTTAAAAAAAATTAAGCATATATATATAAATATGTAATACTATTGTATAGCCTGCTTAAGTATGCTCGAAATGCAAAAACTGTTTCTGCCTAAAATTGTAATTTAAATTTCATTGTAATTTAAATTTAACGCTTTCGGCTGACCACCTAAAAGGAACATCTGCTCCTGCATCCCAGAGCCAAAGGTCAAGAAAACTGAGATGGTCACATTAGGCCTTGGCCCTCTATTGGCTGTCACGCCACTGAGTTTAGTTTAGTTTTATTTAGTTGTTGCTACTAAATAGCTTAGTACATATTTACTTACATACATATTTTAATGCTTCATCATTATACTTTATAACTCAGAGAAATAGAAGAAAATTTCTTATGTTGATGTTAGGTGTTACATTTAGAAATTATAATTCTTAAAATTTTCGATATAAAAACATCGAATAATTTTCTAAAACTCGCAAACTCATCGCCAATTTTCAAAACAAAACTTAGCATTTCAAATTTTTATAAAAAAATATCGTCTTTAGCAGTTCAAATTTTTATAAAAAATTATCAGTTAAGTTCAAAATTAATATTGATAAACTTTTTGACAAATTTATGAAGATTGTTTGCTCAAACTCCCTTCTCCATTTTTTTTTCTAACATCAAAACTATCAATTACAAAATGATCTCCAGTAACTAAATTCAGCAAGAAATTTATAAAAAAAGTGTTCGCACTAACTTCCTTTTCCCCTACTTATCAATATCAAAACTATCAATAACAAAATGATCGCCAGTAACTAAACTAACCAAGAAATTTATAAAAAATATTCGTTTTAATTCCTTTCTTCCTTTCTTATCAATATCTAAATTATCTATAGCAAAATGATCGCCAGTAACTAAATTCAACATGAAATTTAATCATCAAATTAAATTATTTTTCATTAAATTTTTTATATGAAAGAAATACTAGTTTATAACGTAAATGCAATTTTTACAAGTTAGTTTTAAAAATTGTCAGCTGAAAAAGTCAAGATAGATTAGATTTAATAATATCCTAAATTACGCAAATGAGTTTTTAAAACAGCACAAACAATAAACAACAACAACATATAATTTATTATCGTCCCGAACATGACTTATTTTTAGTTTTTAAACTATGAATAATTTTAAGCGCTTATCAATATGTAGTTTTTATCAAAATTATGATTAGCAAAATAATAATCTATAATTAAACTTATCTTCGAAATTAACCAATAACTATTTTTTTAAATTCAATATCATATGTTGAAGACAGATCTGTTTCTTAAAAACTAAAATATTTTTTTATTTATTGACTATAAGTATTTATGTTTTAGATAAATTGAAGACTGAACTACCGGTTTTTGCAATAAACGTTGTTTATCAGTATTATTTTTGCAGAACTATTGATAATGTCATTAGTAAGTTATGTTTCATATTTACACTAGATCGTCGTTGGAAATGGAAATAATGAGAATCAATACTCACACATGGGTCAGCTAATCGTGTTTATTCAAACGAATATGATGAGCCATCGCTTAGAATTTGATGGACGCGCATGCGTCATTGTTTCCATAACAACTGATGATCAATAGAAAACTTAGAAGATATGACGTAGAAAGTTTTACTGTTGCCACAAATTTTAATAATATAAGAATTTGCGTCATTTCTCTATTTTTAAAAACAAAACTTTCGTTTAGCAAACACTTTAATGTGAAAGATACGATTAGTCTGCTATTTAAATTTNGTTTGTTGCATTTCCACGACATTATACAAATGACAAAATATTTGATTTCTGCAACATTGTGAAAAATGACATAAAGATTCAAGTGTTCAAAAATTTCAGTTCAGTTCAATTCCGAAATTTCAAATTGAATAACATTTCTGAAGCAAATGTGAGCATCTTTATAAGCAATACATTGAATTCCAATTCTAAAAATCGCCTCGTATCACCACTTAATAAAAAATTAGTTGTGCCATGAGTAATGCTACAGGATTGCAAGAAATCGTCCTTCAAAACATATTCATGCTTTTTTTATTTGTTGCGAATAGTGACATAAAGGGTTAAATATGGTCAATAAGTTTTAAACAGGAAACTTGCCATTACTTAATTTTAATTTTAAAAGAATTAAAATATTTTAGAGAAAAAACATAGACTTTAATGAAAGGAACTTTTGTAACCAGTTCAATTTCAGAAATAAATAAATTAGTGAAAATTAATTGAAGGAAAATAATTATTATGAAAGTAGTAGTCATTATTACCTTCGGATTTTACCTGTATACGTGTAAATATTTTTAGAGCTAATCGCTTCTGCATAAGTGAAATAGTAATGTTTACAAGGTATTGTTCACTTAAATAATTAATAATGAAATTAATTTTAATGTCTAAATAAAAGGCAAATTGGATTTGTATTTAAGTCTATTACATTGTCGTTTAAAAATCATGGATTAAAAAACCAGATCATTTATCAGATATATTGTTCGATGTTATATTAATAAAATTAAAAATGCAAGAATTCAAAGTATCACTTATTGAAGTTAAAATTTAAGTTGAAATTTATATATCCAGAGGATTAAAGAATATGCAAAATATGCATCGGGCTTAATAAATATTGTTAATTTTTCTTTGGTTATGAAAATATAAATAACTTGTTACTTTAAATTTTACGTTTTCTGAATTTTATTTTGAATTCAGATGTTTTTTAAAAAAAAGCAACAGAAAAGTATCTGTTTAAATACCTTGAATAACAAAAATCTAATTTAAGTAACGGTAAATTTCACTATAAAGCATTTACATAAATGCTTTATTTACCTTATCAAGCACTCAAATTTCATGCTCTTTTCTCAACTTCTTTTTGCCTATTTTTGTACCTTTGTTTCTTAGAAAATAACAAGTGTTTTGGTTGTTTCGTGAAGTTATCATATATTCATTTTGAACATAATTCAAAAAAAACACTCATTATTTATAGACATACTGACTAAAGTTTAACAAAATAATCTTTGTTAACTTTCTTTTTGAGAGGAAAAGAAAGCTTATTAAGTTATTAAGTTAACGTTTTAAATTCTAAAATTATGTGCCTCAAATTTTTTTCTGTTTTAAAGTTAAATATGTATTTAGCATGATTTTTTTATTTAGTTGGACGCCCGGTGGCTGAGTGGTAGGGCTTCGAGGATCTGTGCCACAGGTCCTATGTTCGATCCTCGGGCCGGGCAAGGTTGACTCAGCCTTTCCTCCCTTCAGTGGGTCAATAAATGGGTACCAAGTATGCTTGGGAACTAAACACTGGGGGGTTACGCGTTCGGCTGACCACTTAACCGGAACATCTGCTCCTGCATCCCAGAGCCAAAGGTCAAGAAAATTGAGATGGGCACATTAGGCCTTGGCCCTCTATTGGCTGTCACGCCACTGAGTGTAGTTTAGTTTTATTTAGTTGTTGCTACTAAATAGCTTAGTACATATTTACTTGCATACATATTTTAATGCTTCATCATTATACTTTATAACTCAAAGAAATAGAAGAAAATTTCTTATGTTGATGTTAGGTGTTACATTTAGAAATTATAATTTTTAAAATTTTCGATATAAAAACATCGAATAATTTTCTAAATCACTCAAACTCATCGCAAATTTTCAAAACAAAACTTGCAACTCCAGATAACTTTTTTAAAAAAAATATCGTCTTCAGCAGTTCAAATTTTTATAAAAAAAAAAATATCGTCTTTAGCAGCTCAAAATTAATACTGGTAAACTTTTTTGACAAATTTATAAAAATTGTTCGTTCTAACTCCCTTCTCCATTATTTTTCAAACATCAAAACTATCAATAACAAAATGGTCTCCAGTAACTAAATTCAGCAAGAAATTTATAA